AGGGTGAAGGGGGAAAGGTTCAATGGTAGAAGACTGCATTAAACTTTTTCTTCCCAGACTTCCTTTAAGACCTTGAACAAACAACCACAGGTCATTTCCAGTGAGGTTCAGTGCCAGCTTGGCAGAAGGCTCCTTATACTGAGCTCCACATGCTTTGTATCCACGCACGTATAAAAACCACAGACCCTGTATTTGGTTAGAGATATTTGATGGTGGATTGGTTTGTCTGCAGCAAGACTCTGGTCTCTGTGGTGGTGGGTGTGCTTGAAGTACAGGGTCTTGCCAAAGCCTGGCACTCAGCCTGACTCTGAGACCAGGCACACACCTGCCTGCAAAGCCTGATGGACAGGCTGGGCTGCACAGCTGTGCTCAGCTGGCAGTGTGGGCATGGTTCAGCTCCCCGCCCCTGCAAACAGAGATGATGTCATCCTTTAAACTTGTGAGAGTATGGAGCATAAATAAACCCATGGTTTTTAAGCTTCCTGTTGGCCACAGTAAAGGGAGCAAGGCAGGGACCATAGGTGGAAAGCAATATATACAGCTTTCACAGAAAAAATTCTACAACTCTTCCTAAGTCTTGAAACATTCTGCATTTACTCCATAACCTTCAATGATGTTGGAAAAAACTCCTTTTCTTTTTCAAATAACATAGTATTTTTCACATCTCCGATTTTTTTGATGTATTGATATTTGTAGAATAACAGCAAAGAGTTCAAGAGGTGTCCATGCTCTCTTGCTTTGGAGACAGCTGTGGAATTTTGAAATATGCTCAAAGGTTGGAAATAACCCCCACTTTTGGTTGTCCAGGCAAGCTACTAACCTGGAAAATATAAAGTATATTTTCAATGAAAGCAATCTTCTACAGTCTTTAATGAAAATTTTAAACTGGTGGTATTCTGATAAAATTGCCTAAGTTCAGTATGCACTACCATGAACAAAACATATTAAAATTGATACTGTTAAAAGGGTGCTTATATTAAAAATCCCATATACCCAGAAGTAAGTAAAATAGCTGTTTTTCTGATACTAATAAATAGCTTACTACATACCTGTGTAAGCTTTAAGCCTTTCCTTTTGAATGTCTGAAGTTCATAGAAAATCCTTAATTTATAGAACATAAACTATCTGGACTCCACTTTTTATAAGTTATGGGTTTACTTGACCTTTACTGGCCACTGCAGTCAAATACCTGCACATTTCCAACTGTGTGAAAACCACTGAATGGGGCATGTAATTTATATGCCTTGATGACTTCTTTTCAAGGATCAGATAATATTTCTATCTTTGAAAAACAGAGAAGAAGAAATCTTACTTTTATTTTCATAAGTCACAGTCTTCACTTAAATTTGTGTTTATTTAAAATTTATATTTTCTATCCTCTAATTTAGACAGAATGTTTATCAGTGGCCCAGAAAAAAAAAACTTGTCAAATTTATTACATAATTTCCTTTAACAGCAAAGAGGAAGACCTTATGACCAGTAGGTATTTTCTAATTGTACTCTGTTCCTCTTATTATAATACATATAATGCTTGTAATATATTCAATCCAAAATTATTTCCATCTTTGGAGAAATAATTTAATAGAGTAAGAGAAGAATTTTTGTTGATGCGATTTCTGGAGATTATTTAATCAGATATCCCTATAGCTCTTCTCTGCACCTCTTCCTGGTTTTCTGCTCCTGAAAAGCATGGGCCAAAAGCACTGTGTAAGCTCTGTTACTCCTTTGAAAATTCTCATACAAACTCAATTTTATGGTCCTAACACACTGAAAATCACAGTCATCCTGTGGCTGAATACTATGTTGCTGGTTTTTCTCCTTGATCCAACCAAAGGATTTGCAGTAATAAGGAGAAATTCCTGTATGCATGATGTTAATCTTGAACTATTGCATTTCACCCTAGTTCTTTTAATTCAGCCATTAAGTCCATCAAGATTTCCTAACATATCTTGAATCTTTATGGAATAAATAGCTTCAGAAAATAACTGGAAATAAAAAGAAAAAGTTTATTTTTTTTGTAGGTAATGATCATTCAAAGCATAGAGAATGAGGGTTAAGAGCATGTAGCAATTCCTGCTGCTGAATGGGACCAAGTTTGGAAGGATCTGGTTATTCCTGATAGGCAATCTCTTGAGTTCAATTTAAAACCTTGATCCTCAAGCCCTCATGACTGTACAAAGTCTTTCAGCAATAGGAGGATGAAGCCTTTACTCATTACTGTACTTGGCCCTGAAACACAAATAACTTGTAAGCATGTGTTTGTAAGTGTATAAAAAAAAGATCAGAGGAATTGCCTCATACATATTTTAAAAAGTAAATGTCAAGATGGTGAGCTTAGATTTAATTTAGGGCTTATCATTAGTGTTTTCTATGCATTTATTCATTTATGCAAGTTACAGCAAGAAAGATGAAAATATTTATGGAGTAAAAAATGTTATGGTGTGAAATACTGCTGCATGAGATGTCTGTAGCATGCTAAGTTTCCCCAAACTATTTTATCATCACTTCTTGCCTAGTCCACTTCCACATAATGATTATATATTTTAATTCATGGAAAGTACACTTTTAGTGTCACTATTCAAATAAAGGACAATGCCTCTCCACAATTTTGCAAAAGGACAGGAACTGTAGGTTTCGAAGCTGGGGAATACAGCAAATTTACTGGAAAAAGTGAGGAAAATCCTGTAAGGAAATTCTCTTTTTGCTGGTGTTACTGCAACAGGCTGGCATAATTCCATTGATTTCCATGGAGTCTTGCTAGGTTAAGAAAGAGAAAAGGCAGGCTTTTTTTTTTTTCATTACAGGACAATTAGGTATTTCTGTCTCAGAGAAGCATAATAGAGACGTGGGTGCTGAACTCTCCATCAATTTAAGGTGCTATTTTGAAGAAGAAATTTTAAATCTTCATGCACTAAGCTCAGAAACAATTGCACATGATGCTACCTGCTAAATACTGCCACAACTCTGAGTCTCACAGGTGTGAGAACCCAGGAAATTCCTCTGGCTGCCCTGGAAGACTCAAGCCCCTGCCCAGGGGGCTCAGAGACTTGGGCACAGAGCACAAGACCCCTGTGCTTTTGATTTAGCCTTTGGAAAAAATAATTACTTATGTGAAGAATTACAAGCCACGAAAGTTTAAGTAGAATGATGGTGAATTTATCACAGGGTGAAAAAGAGATTTTTTGAGATTTTTAGAATGGGGGTTCAGGGGGCAAGATGGAGGAATCTGGGTGTGTCCAGCCTTTCTCCTTCTTCTTCTTGGCCTCCATCTTCTGCTGTGATGTTGGCACTTTTAGATTGGTTTAGAGTAGAAGCTCACTGTCTAACATAGATGATAGGTATTGGAAAGTAATTGTAAATATTGTACACGTAGTTTTTAGTATAAAAAGATAACACCGCCCAGGGGCAGGCAGAGTGCCTCTGTCTGACCTGCTGAGCAGACCTCGGCAGGCCAGGAGAAAGAATTTTATAAATAAGATACAATAAACAACCTTGAGACCGAGAAATGAACAGTTCTGACTCCTTCTTCGAGTGCTGGGCTGGGAAAAGAGACTTTCTAACACATCTCAGGGTCACTCTGACCAGCTAGAGACCCCCAGACACACAGGCAGCTCTCTTATTGTCCCCCCAGGGACATGAGCAAGGTGACAGTGCTGACTTGAGATGCAATGCTTTGTGTCCAGGTAGAGTGTCTCTGAGAACAGCAATGAGGAGAGTCCCTCAGCAAAGGGGCACCTTGCACACCTAGACTGAGGTCAAATGGTATTTGCAAATTTCTCTTCAAACAGGAGATCTTCCCAGGAGAAATGATACTGCAGGAAAGGCACAGATTAAATACATATAAAGCAGAAATGTATGGTAGAGTCCTTGAATTAAAAATGCTGGATGGTTGGTCTCCATGACCCCTAGCACATTGTGTCACTTTTGCTTTCTACCATCTGCCTTGAATAAAGAGAGCAGTGAGACAAACCTGGCAGTGAGTCTGCAAAGGCACAGCTGCACCTGGGGCTATTTCCCAGTTTAATGCACAACCTGGGTGTGTCTTGCCTTCCAGCTGAATCCTGGTGACTCCACTGCCCTGTGTTCAACACCTTTGCCTGAGAAAGGATGCAAGGTGCACACTGCTGAGCAATGTCTGGGTATGCCCTGGAAGCAACCCACACTGTTGGGTAGCAAATATTAATGTACTTTGCTTTTAGCACTGTCAGGTGTTGTACAGTGACTTGTTTTGAAAAAATTGGAGGTGTTTTTGGATGCTTAGTTATGCAATGGGTTTTCTTTAAATCAACTTTCAAAAAATCTTTTGGAATAAATCTGAAAATAAAACTGTTTAATTACATTTTCAGTGAACATGGGAACCAAATGTGTGAAGCAGAAGGAGAGAAAAATAATTTCCATGAAAATTTTTTTGTTTCACTTTAAAGAATTATGCACTGCAAAGTGCAGCTACAATTCTACACCACATATACTTCAAATTGCAGTGTATTTCCTGACCCATCTTTCCTTACAGATATCAATCCAATTTCCTGTTACGTATAAATGAATTAGGTGTGCATGTGCCTGCAATAAGGAGTTTTATTTTACTAAGTATAACAGATTTTTAATGTTCACATTTTTATGATTTTCAGATAAAGGCCAGTTGGTTTTTGGGTGTTGTTTTACATGAGAGTTCAAAACAACCCTTTGGAACTAGATGTAGTACTACAACAAGAAAGCTTATGATGACTCACAGACTGTTCTCTCCTAAGGACCCCTTTTCCATGGTGATGAATTTATAGAAAAGGTTTAGAAACCTTCTGTGGTGGGACTATTTTAGCACACAAAAAGGAAAACACTTAATCAGCTGCTCCAAGCAGCTTTATGGATGCTATTTATAATCTTTTTGCTTATAGATACATTGAAGCTGTTTTCAGGCTCTGCAACTTTTTTTTTTTTTTTTTTTTTTTTTTTGAGGCTTTTTGTTTGGAAAAACAGAGGTTACATCCATTTATTTCTCATACCATATGAGTTCCTTGATAATCTGCCCAAAGGGAGGAACCAGCCCCTCTGGAGAGCCCATGCTCCCAGTTTGGGTGTGAACTCCCAGCCCTCCCTGGCACACTCTCTGCTCACAGACAGCAGCTCCTCAGATGATTGCTTGCAGCACTTCTATCAATATTTTGTCAAAAGCATAGATAAGATGGGTAAGAATAAAGACAGAAAATATATGTGGAACCACATCTAGGAGCTGCATGTGAATATACAAGTCACCTTACACGTCAGTAAAATTAACAGTACACTAATTGCCTGCAGGATCTGAACGTGGGGAGGCATTTGTATATATCAGGAAACTGAAAAAAAAAAGCCAAAAATTTTTTTATGTGATCACCACAATGATCTTCTTCATTACTGATTTTAAAGCTGGGGACATAATCACAATGGGTATGTACAAGTGCTTTTGCTTTGATAATCTTCATCTTTAACACATTGAATTTTGTTCAGTTATTTTTCAGGGAAATGACTGACAAAGTGAAGGGTTTGTTGTTGGGGTTTTTTTCCCCCATTATTTTAAAAGTGAAGTGACTTTATATATTATCAGGGGCCTCTCAGATGCACCCACAGTCAGTTGTATTTAGGAGCTGGGGTGTAAAAGCCAACCAAACTCAGTTTGCTGCACATGGGGCTCTCTTTATAAAGGCTGCAAAAGACTCCCAACATCTTTGCATTTGTCTGGCCCATCAGGATATTACATTTCATCCTTCTGCATTTTCACAGCCAAAAATTTAGGTTCCAACCTGGCACAAGGTTTCTCAGGGTCAGATTAAGGACAGCCTTAATCCCCAATGATGGTGTAATACATACATCACAGTTCTTGCACTCACTCAGCTACACATCTTGATAAAAAATGTCAGGATACTACATTTAAACATGTTTATACTCGATGGCAAGTTCGCAGTCTCACTTAACAGCAAGGCACGGATGGGAAGGAAGAGTTTAACACATCCACATGCACAAACAAGATAGCTGTGCATAATTTGATGGATCTGAATCTTTGAACTTAGTCATGATATACATATATGCAACCTGAAAAAAATCCAGGTTGGATTTTTTAAAACAAAGTCTTTACCTCTTGTTCTTCAAACCAGTCCTGAGTATCTTACACAAAACTGACCTGCTATCTTATCATTGAAAAATGATACCTAGAGTGCTGAAGAAAACAAAAGCGTACCAAATGTAGAATACTATTTGAAAAACAAAACCAAACTGAAGGCTTGAAAAGGGATATAAATATTTTAGTGGCAATGAAATTATTTATTCTCTGAAGACAGCTCCTATAACGCAGCTGCACCAGCGATTAAGGCAATTCTATTTTCCCATTTTTATAAGCTGCTTGAGAAATAATTTTTTTCCACTAGATTAAAGCTGTGTCAGTTCTCTACAAAATCACTTCTGACTTCAGGGATGCTGGAGATACGTGTTGAGTAAATCTGGAAATGCAAGCTTGTGATTTACTTCTTTATAGTGGTAATAGTTATTTTTGTGGGAAAACCTGGAATTCTACAGAAACTTCTGTGCCTCTTAGTTGGCTAATACCCTGACCTCACAGCATGCCACACTAAGAATTCCCTAAGCAAAAAAGTGGAAATTCTGCTTTTGCTTAAGAGAATAATTTAGTTTAACTGCAGCTATTGAGCTTGTCACAATTTCAAACCAATTGAAAAGGAGGCCAATTCCACAGGTCTTCCCTGAGCAGTGCTGCAACCCTCCCACACCTTCTGCCAGGGTGCTGTGAATAGACAGAATGATTTTGTTGTATTATGACAGTCTGAAGACACATGGGAGATGATGTTTGTGGGCACACAAAAAAAAATTGCCCTTTCTACCAACATGGGTTCATTAACAGACCAGGCACAAAACCAAATTCTGAATGGCTGAGAGGGAGCACTTTGTAAAAATGATGACAACACGTGTCTTGGCAAAGCACATCTGTTTCCTAGCAGGTGCTTGCATCACCTGTGGTACAGGCACAGCTCTGTTCCACATCATGCCAGACCATCTCACCTGACACAGCCCATAGTGAGAGATGGGCATCTCAACACTCTTCAGACTGATAAAGACACAAATCACCTCCTAGAAGACCTCTCTTCATCATCTATAGAGTGAAATATTTCTGTAAGGACCAATGCAGTATAGAGCACAATGCAGTTAAGCTGTTTTACATTCTCTCTCTATATACTATATATTCTATTTTATATTCTATTCCATTTTATATTCTATTATTTATATTTTATATTAATACCTTATACATATATTAAGGCTTTCTGTTTTCTTGCCTTTTTCCTCCTTTTTTCCTCCCAAACTTGCTGTTCTCTGATTCCAGGGCTATGACTGCTTTGAGTGCTTTATTTTGAGATTTGCACACTAACCAAAACACTCTGCACATTCTGATGCTTCCTAGAACCAACTGAGAATAACTTTTATTCCTGTTTCTCATTAGCAGAAGATAAATGTATATTTTTAAAATAAGGGTGACAAATAAGGATTAACAGGCAATGAATAAATTAACAGGTCTTGGAGAGGTTATTTATGTAACTAAAGGGAGGTAAAATACCTCACCAAGGAATAAATGCTGTCCATAAATTATAGCTGTGTTGAGAGGCTGATATTTAACTTCAAGGCAACCTGTGTTTACGACTGGAAGGAGAAAGATTTATATTAAATATTTAAATAATAAACTATTCTTTAAAATACCTTTCAAAAGCATTTGGCATTTTTTTTTTGTTGGTGTTAATACACTTTGTTTTATTCAAGTCAACAGAGTTGCACCTGCTTGCATAAACTGATCATGAATTTTCTTATCTGCTGACATTTGTGCTCTGCAGATGCTGGGGCAAAATGTTCATTGCAGGATGTTTATCACCCAAAAATCCAAAGATCATTATGGGGACATGGACAAATAAATCTTTCTGCAGTACAGTCCTCACAGCAACATTTTTAATTCTGATGGCCTTTTTTTTTTTTTTTGTTCTATTTAAAAATATCCTGATTGTAGGGTGAGTTGATGTAACACCCAACAAAGCTGCCAATATCAAAGTTCTCCCCATTGTACCAGAAGGCTGGCTGAGATGGAGCACTTTGCAATAAAAGTCTACACCTGAAACACAGCTGGACAATGACAACAATGTGGACAAGTGAGAAATTATGTGACATTCAGAAAACTTCCCCATTCTGCATGGAGAGAAAAGTAAAACGTTTCTGGTCAGAACTAGATGATCCTTAAGGTCCCTTCCAATGCAAACCACCCAATGGTAAATCCAACCAATAGCCCAAATTAGCATGGAGATAACTCAGGCAGCATGTGAAATCTCCTGTCTGGGTTTAATGGCAGAGTGAAGGGAGTTTACTACATCACCTAAACATCCTTAATACAGTGTATTTTAAGGATTCTTTTTTGTTTTCACTGTTCTGTTTTATTTTGAAACTTCCTCTGTGGCAGAAAGGGGCTCTAGAGTTGGAATCAACCACATTAATGTGGTCTGCATGAAATGAGTTGTGGTCTCCTGACTTCTCATAAAAGAGGCTGTAGCAAGATCAGTGATGGTTAGCAATTATTAGGTTACACTCTGAATGTTGGAATAATCCAAATTTGTAGTCCATTCCTAACAGACTCATATTGTTGTGCTTAACATGGTAATTACATATTTTTTGTAGTCTGTTAATACAGGCATAAACTGCTTGTAGTGAGCACTACAATTAAAGCTGCTCAGGTCTGCCTGTTTGCTGGAGAAAAAACAAGGTCACTTTCAGACCTCACCATTCATATTTAGCTTATCTGTCACATTTTGATTTTGGAAACATGTTGGAAGTTAAGCCAGTCTTTTCTAAATCTTTGCCAGGTGTACAGAAAAATAAATTACACAGGTACACTAGATCAACTGCTTTTAATATTTTTTTTTACAGAAGCAGCAAAGATGGTGTTAATAAATCTTTCTAATATTATAATTAGAGACAACATAAATATAAAATAAATAATAATGAAATATTTCTTTAGTAGTAGATTTCCAAACTTTTTTTCCAAACTACTATTCAACTGGGAAACAGCACAGTAAATGCATCCAAGCAGCAGATTAAAATATTCACACCAAAATGATGTCAAGTAGAAGTTTGGGTAAGGCAGCACAAGGAACCGCTGAACAATGTTAAAGAAAAAGGAGAAAATCAGTGCATTTTTTTGCTTGTTTTTGTAAACAGAAAACTCTGAGTTTAGCTCAAGGAGTACAGTCTTGAGCAATAAGAAACACATAGTACAAATGAGTATTAAATGAACAACTGCATTACAGAGTTAGCAAAGTGTTCAGTGGTGCTGTATGAAGGGCTGTACTGCAGGAGCCTCAGATATCTGCAGTAATCCCACTTGCCCTGACCAGAGACGGTTTCCTGCCCCCAGCAACTGTTTTTGTCAGGATGCCTAAAGCAAGACAATTCCCTTTGCTTTCACTTCATGCCTCAAGCACTTTAAATTCCTTAAATAACTCTTGATGGGTTTCCAGAAAGCATATGCAATATAAAATTGCTTTGTGATTCTCTGAATGTTAGTATGTGACAAAAGGTTGTTATCTTAATCATAGTATCTTTATCAGAGCATTTCCATTTTGGAACAGTGTTCTCACCCAGAGTTAGCTGGACATACCTGTGGCAGGTGACAGCCAGCTGAGTACTTGGCTGGACAGTGTCACCTGCACAAGGAACAGCAGTGTGCTGCTGAAGCATTTGAAATTGTCCTCACAGATTCTGTTCACCTTTTTTCAGTAAACCAGAAATCCAAGGTGGTGTGGAGATGAACACGGTGTGGTGTGGAAGGGGATGTTTTCCCCTCTGCCCTTGAGCAAGGAGCTGTGACAGCTGTGCTCAGTTTACTACAAGGGAAGCTGCCACGGGCAGACAAGCAGGTGCCTCCTCTTAAATCTTCAGCTCAGTCTCAGAAACCTCTCCAGGGCTGCTGGGACTTGCCCTGCATTTCTTAAACCCACTCATAGTAATATGACTCCATTTATAGTAATTTCATAAGTGAAAGCCTGG